TTATTCTTATAACAAATATTTATCCAGTTTCTATATGCTAGGTGTTGGAAATAATATGCTCATAAAGACCAGCAAGGGTCTTTACTCTCATCAAGTTTGTATTTTAGTGGGAGAAAGAAAAAGTAAAAATAGAAAATACAAGGCAATGGTAAATTCTGTTAATGAAATATACAGAATTTCATTATCTTCTGTTAGAGGATACAAGGAATTTCCAGGGGAGCTACTTTGAGTACTCAGGAAATCCTTCCTGAAGAAGTAATGCATAAGCGGTGGGTGGAGTTGAGACACTTAGGATATCATTGATAACTGAAACTGAGTATGGATGAGAAAACTAAAGAGAGATTATAAGTAAGAATAAGACTCAGCCTGGAGCAATTCCAACATTTTTTAGGTCAAGTAGGAAGCCAGATTGGAGCAGGTTAAGGAATAAAGGGTAAGAAAATGGTGATAGCAAGTATAGGGTAACTCATCAAAGTAATCTAACTTCAGAATTGAAGTTAAATAGATGAATTCAAATTTGATGGTTTCAGGTACCTTAGAGTAACGACTGAAATGCCAAACCCCTTTCCAAACTTACACAGCTGACTTCTCTCTCCCTTTGAAAAGATGAGTTTGTGTTCATGTAACCCAACCTAAAGAATACTCTTATGGTTGCTCCCAAAACATATCAGTCTATGCCCTAACACTTTCTTTTCTAACCTTGAGAAATTGAAAGATGATTAGTGGCTCCTTATGTAGTTAAATATGAGGAAACTTCATGCTCTAAATATATAGCCTTCCTGGATAGTTATCGATGTAGCCCTTCAAGATATCTTTCTGTCTGAAATCTGTAGACCAGACACTGTCATATGTCAAGTGTTCTGAAGTATTAGATAAATGGATATGAATGTGAAGGGATTGTAACCTAAGAGTGAGTGTGCAGGGAAGGGGCATAGATCCTATGCCCTGAAGACTTCCACTTACTCGTTTTGTGACCAGGATACGTCACTTTACTTCTTTGAGTCTCAGTGGGTGATTGTTAGAATTGAATGAGGTAATGTAAAACAGGCTTTTCGCATAGTGCCTGACATACAGCATCTGCTCCATAAACATTTTCAGACCTGTCATGATCACACTAAAATTTATTTCCTGCAACTTGGCTAGCTTACATTAAAGTGCATTGTCTGTATGATAGAAATGAACCATCACATATCTCCAGTACTAAATAAAACAAGTTTATATGGTTAAAGCTGAAGTTTTAAAAATTTTGGTTAGAATTATCAGTAACCATTAATTTAAATCACAAGTGATAATTTTATTTCCATGACCCACAACAGATTTTCATCTTTTATACTTTCCAAATGCATATATTCTGTAAACTCACATTCAGAAGGTATGGAGAGGTGCTATTTTAGGGTGGATGAAATCACTGAAATATTAAAAATAGGCCTAGCTGTCTAGATAATCACTTGAGGCACCCTTTTCCTTGAGCCCTCCTCACCTACCGTCTAGATTCCAAGATTCATAGAGATGGAAGAGACCTTATTTAGGATAAGTACCTCTCTTCCAGTTTGGTTTCTTCCCCGTTTTACCAAAATATGCAGTGTTAAAACTAAACCTTTGTATTTGTCTGTAGCTCTGTGTGGTTTTTAAAGGATGTTAATGGGCTCTCATTAGATCATCAGAAATGTATAAGGTAAGCAGGGAAGATGTCGGGTTTTTTCTTACAGAGGAGGAAAGTGAGGTGGAGGAAGGCTAAGGTTACTTGCCCAAGGTCAATAAGTCTGATTATTAATAGTATCAGAATTGGAATCCAGGTCTTTGCATACTTCTCCCTAATTCTTTACTCTCAGGAGTACCACTGTGTACACTATTGCTGAGCTTTTGAATATGGAAATATAAAGCCACTTTATCAGGAGATTGACATGCTGCTGCTTCAGCTTTTAATGATATAAAGCAGAAAAGCCATGAATAAAAGACTGATAAATTTGATGATGTAAAATGTAGAGTGGGTTCATGACAAAAGCACCACAAACAAATACAAACAACTAATGAAGGGGGGGGGGAATAGGACTGTAAGACCCACAGAACAAGGGATTAACCTTAACTGTGTATCAATAAGAAAAGATCAACTGGCAAAGAACACAGAAAAGGAAATACAGTAGCTTCTAAGATACGAAAATAAGCTTAAGCTTCCTCATAAGACAAATGCAAATTAAACAATGGTATACCCTTGTTTAAACTATCACTTTTTCCAAAATCCTTAAGTTTTATTACATATTGGTAGGAGTGTGAAGAAAGACATTTTCATAGATTGTTAGTCAGAATATAAAATGGTACACGGTCTCTGAAAGACGTTTTGGTAATATCTATCAAAATGTGAAAATCACCCTTTGACCCAACTATCCTACTCTCAGATAACAGCTCTGAAGATATATACTTGCAGACATACTTAAAGAGACACGTACAAGAGTCAAGATATTGACATTTTAAGCAAAAGATTGGAATAGCCCAAAAGTCTATCAGTTGAAGACTGACGAAGTAAGTTATAATACATTCAGAGTGGAATTCTATGTAGCTGTTAATAGGACCAGGTATTCATTGTACATCTACGAAGCAATCTCCAAAACATATATTTTTTTAAAAGCAAGATACAGAACAGTATACAGAATTGCAAAGGGAGAAAGGAGACCAGCCGAAACACAAATATGAATATGTGTCAATGTGAAGGATACACAAGAAATTGGTGACTAGGAGCAGTGACAGAGACATGTGTTTTGCAGTGATTGGTTTTCTAATTTGGCAAACATAGTTCCAATTTTTAAAACATACAAAAGAAAAGGAAACATTGTTTAAAAAGTATATCAAGAAAAGTTGAGCATTTATTAATCTCTCACTTCTACAAATGTGTATGATTCTACCACAAATTCTTGATATTAAACCTAGTTCACTGAACATTTTAATTTCCAAACATAAAGGAATATGTTAAAATTTTCTCTAGATTGCAGATTCTTTGAAAGCATGAGCTATGTCTTCCTTATCTTTGTATTCCCAAGTGCTTTCTAGTGGGTACTCAGTAAATGTTAAATAATTTGATGGTATAGAAAATGAAATTGAAAGGTGCTCCAGTTGGTACTAGAGATCCATGTTCTTATATTAATCCACATACACCTTGTTAGGACACTCTGAAAAAAGAACAGTTTGTTTTTCTATTTCCCTATATCTTAGTTTCCCTGTCTTTTAAAAAACGGGGAACGTGGGGGTTGTCTAGAAAGGTCCCTTCTAGCTCTATTGTTCTACTGTCTCTGGTTAGCACTTCATAAGATAGCTGTACTTTTCTATTCTTAGTATTTTATAGATCAGGAGTACCCAAACTTTGCAGACCAACGAGATTTAAATATGTATTTGTGAATTACACATGTCAATCTGTATATTAGTACTAACAGTTCTTTTTTAACTAATTGAGATTTTTCTTAACCATGCATGTGTGGTTTTGTGTATTTGAATTTAGAGTACACTCTCTAGAATACTTGGAAAAAAACTGTCTTTACAGTATTGCAAATAAGTTATTAGAGTAACTTGAGGCCATGAGGCCACCAGTCTAATTGTTAACCAATATAAACATTTTCAAAAATCAGTTAAGATTTCTGATATGAATGAAAAGGGTGTTTTGGACCTCTGATTTGTTACGTATCAGGCCATGATTTAAATATAATCCTGTTAATCACATCTCTGTTTTGGCTTTTTAAGTGACTATTTTTAATAATCTTAAAAGATTACTTGATAATCTTTCAAGCTAGCTTTATAGTTTGTCAGTTTGTTTCATACCTATTTATAAAAGTGGAACCATGTCGTTCAGTGGAACTGGGACTGTGCCTTGGGGAGCTCAGTGAGAACGTGATAGCTGTTAAAATACATTTTAACAGGTTAACGCTCTCTGGCTTATCAATGGCAGATGAAATCAGTTGGTTGAGGGTGCAAGGGGAGGTCGGGAAAATGCTACCAAAGTCTGGATGCTGCTGCCATTTGCCGAGTCCAACAAGTCACTTCAATACTGCTACACAGTTCGTTCATCTTCCTCTTCACTGATGGGAAAAGACCACAGACCTGTGGTTGAAGGTTAGGAACGAGGTAGTCCAACCGAACAAATCAGTATATGTTCCTATCAAATGAGCTAATACATAGCGAGCAGGTAAATGGGATGTAAGGATTCACGAAGACTTGGGATTACATGCAGTGAGCCAGCTACCCTTTGGACTCGCACAGTTCTGTGATTCTAAAGATTTCATCAGAGCGAGTAGGCAGGCCTAAGGGACAGAGCAAGGACTGTAGTCCAGTTCCAGCCCAGTGACTGTGTAACCTCAGGCGTTTGTACTTAGCTCTCCGACTCACTTGTTATGAAACTGAAATGAGATGATGCATGCGGGTGTGCCTAGAACATAGTAGGCATTTGACATTAGTAGGCATTAATTCCCTCTTGTTTCCGAGTGGCTCTAGTCATGGTAGGTTAAGGACAAGTGGACAGGATGGAAGCGTGCCGTGCTCAGTAGGATGGTGTGTACTGAGGAAATCCACATGCACAGCAAAGGTTTTCTGTCCAGTGGGATGAGCGACTGCTCGGGTACCTGGCTACCATGTATTCAGTTCAGTAAGGAGGCAGGAGTTAAAAACAACAAAACTCTGGTACTTTCAGGATTAACAAATGCACTATCCACTCGGTTGAGGTCCCAACAATAAAGCTACTGAATTTTCTTTTACAAGGTTGATAGTTTCCTTAAAATGGAAGTAAAACTGAAATGCTTTACATTTTTTCCAGCATGCTCCAAGTGAAAGCTGATGAGAAACTGAATTTGTCTGATGGGAATGCAGCAAGTCGTTCTCTGAGCCCCATTACGATGTGCCTTAATCGTCCCATTGAATGGAATCTGAATTTGACAGCAGCATCTCTAGCAAGCTGTGCAGTTCAAAACCAAAATCTCCAAAGCGAAGAGAAATAGATTGCAGCTCTTCTTGCACTGTCCTTATTTTGTACGTCACTACTCTTTCTGCTGAACAATAAGCATTTATCAGTTGATCTTGAACTATTTCTAGTCCTGTGATCTGTCTTTATATTCAATCATTAGCATTACTCATTTTGATTATATTCTTTGTATGTTTGTTTTTTTACGTTTTACACCAGACCATTGTGGAATTTTGCAGTACAGATGGATTTTGATGTTTCTCTTTTTAATGGTATTTTGTGAATTTTTTATGCCCTATGTTTAAGTACATAATGACCCGTTTTATTTCTGTGCACAAAGTTTTAATATATAACGAATTGTGATTTAGAAGGCTAGTATTGTAAAGATGTGTGATGACCTGACCCGTGAACAGTTGTATAAACAGGTGGATACCAACTACCTCGAAGCAAATTGATAAAAGGCAAAGGTATCTCTTAGACTCCCTCGCTCTTGGTTATGTGTAGAAAAATGACCAGTTTATCAAGTAGCATGTTTCCATTCATAGAATTTGAGCTGATCAGTTTTCTTTCTCTGTACTTTTAAACCTTTAAAGTCTGTGGGCTGTAAGAACAATGGCACAAATTGCATGTTTACTCTTCAGCAAACCTGTGCCTCTTACAGACAAGAATACCATGTGGTTTCTGTAAGTTACCAGTTTTGAATGAAAAATGGTAAATGGATTTACACCTATTCATTTTATTGTATTTTAGCCATTTAAAGTGTAAAGGGATTTTTTTTTTTTTAACCAGGATATTCCTTAACTCTAATCGTGCAAAAGCATAGCTTCAGCAATGGCTTATGTGATTGTGTCTAAAACTTGAATAGGAAGAATACTAAAGATTTGGTGCTTAAATTTCTTTTTCCCAGCTGGATAAAGAAAGCTTTGGTATGGTGGTCTATGTAAGTGTATAAGAAAATGGCTCCTTCCCTTTGGATAGCCTGGCTGTGAGGTCAATGGAACTTACTTTGTGTATTTTTTTAAGTCTTTATTTTTCCCTCCCTCCCCCCCCCCAAAAAAAACTTATTTTTAAAACAACAGGGATTTAACAAAAGATTTACATAATTTGAAGCACAAGACACAGAGCCAACAGAATGAAAAACAATCACCTATTTTTCATTGTTTGATATCACCACCATACCTGCCTTTTCCTTTTGCTTAGTAAGCATCCGTACTTAGTAACTTTCAGACGCCTTTTATATTTCTGAGTTTTATAAAGCACATATGTATGTAAGATAGCAATTTGGTTCTAAAAAGCACAAGAATCTTAACTTTAGCTCCATCTTAGAACATCACCTTAAAAAAATGGCCTCTGGAAAAAAACCTAAAAAGCACAATTATTCAAACAGATCCAATATTAGGGCATTTATATTCTGAATAATAAAAAAGTAATTATCAGAGGGATAAGAACAGGTGTTTTGTTGGGTGTTGCAGAAGACTAATTTTCTACAGTATAAGTTTCGTAAGTCAGGCAAGTGCCAATATCAGAAGATAAATGAAACTGACAGTAAAGAAACAGCGCCCATAAATTAGTATGTAGAGGACTTCCTGTCACATTCTTTTCCCACTAGTATTATTTTTTTATCCACAATAAATATTTATTTTGTCATGCCAAACAAAAACATAGAAAGCAAGTCCACGATTAATATGTATGTGTTAACATCTCCCCGGCCCAGGAAACACCATCACAAACACGCAAAACGAGGGCGCTCATCTGCAAATATTTTAAGGAATTCCCCACGCAGGCAGCACTATCAAAAATGTTCTCAGTGTAAGAAACACAAAACAATATTATCAAAGTAAGAACTGTTGAATTTGGATGCTGGGTAATTTGGTTTATTACGCTAGTGCTCCTCCCTGGAAGTAAGCTCCTTTCTAGCCAGTGTGTGGTGCTTCATTTGCCCTTGAGGTGTCACTTTTTAAATGTGTAGAGGTTGAAATGTGTTCGTGTGTTAGACCTGCTCTATCTAAGTCATAAGCTTCTCAAATGCAAACTAGTAGCCAGTTAACTAAAAGTTGTCTATACGGCCAGGATTTTAAACATGAGCATTCCTGTGCATCATCTGGAGAGCCTGTTTAACAGGGAGGTTCCCAGGCCTTCCCCGCCTTAGATTCTGATTGATGTAGGTTTGTGAGGCCTGACAGATACTGTCCGAATGCTCCACCACAGCGAAGTACATCAATCACAGAGCACAAAGTCCTACAAGACATCAAGCTTTTTCTAATGTTGACACAAGGATAAGTTTATTGAAGCAAAGAACTGAACATAATTTTAAAGGACATTTATAAAAGGACTCCACCTCCATCATCTCTTCTAATTTGTGTCTTCGCTGAGAAATTTCTCAAGGTTAAGTTTAGTTTTTCCTAGTGCTGCTGTTTTGGCTCTTCTCGGGAATCTCACCTTCATTTCTGATTGTGGCTCTGGAACTTCACGGTCACTAAAAAGATGTTGAAAATACACCAGTTTAAATACAAGCTTTAAAACCACAGTTTATTTATAAATAAAACTTTTTTTGTTTCTGACTCTCATTCTATCAGTGTGTAATTGATGTCCTGATTCCACTAAATAAGCTAAAAACTAAAATCTCAACCAAAACCAAAAAAACTGGCTATCCAACAAACCGAAATCATGGAAAACCTAGCTAATTTCTTCTTATAACCATGTGGAACCTAGTGTTATCCAGGAGGAAAAAAGAAAAAAAAAACCAAAACACCAAACTTTCGTAATGAAGCCTGTAATTAAAACAGGGACCATACATAACAACTGCCTAAAAGCTTTTAAGGAACACATGGGAAAAAAATAAGTATTCTTGACTTAGGCAATAAATTCCTAAAACACTGTAAACAGTATTTCCCCAAAAGATTTTTACATTTAGCCAAAACTTAATCTAAAGTTATGTACTGAAAATATACACATTCCAGTCTTACCAATGAATCGATGAACAAGACAACTAATGCGTTTAGCTTCCAACAGTGGCTTAGCTGGCAGAAACCAAATGTAAACACTATACACCACGAATATGTCCAAATTAAAGGTAGAATTACTCTATCACTATAAATGTAGAGAAGACCAAATCTAAATCTCAAGAGTTTGCTAGTTCAAGAACAGAGGAGTCATACATGATCATATAGTTAGAAAACTACATGGAAATATAAACTGAAAACATTCAAGATGACCACCTATTAAAAGGCCATGCCAACTAACAGGAAAAGCAAATGAGCCACAGGAAGTCAAACGCTCTTGACAGTGGAATTTTGGACTATGTATCCAAGACATACCCATTTACGGTCTTCACTGATTATCTTGTTTTACACTGAGTTTCTCTCACAGTAGAAGCAAACTACAATTTTTTGCTACTTTTAGACCAAAAATATTTTTAAAAAGATAAGCCTCTACATATCCTAGATGTGTGTGGCATACCTTTCAGAGTCAGTCTCCGAAGTCTGACGTCTCCTGCTAATCCTGGCTGAAGCTGTCACTTTTCTGCGTCCTTAAAGACAGTTCATTATCAAAATTATCAATTGTTTATTATTTTTAATTATTTTCTAGACCTACCTAAATCCTTAATTTTCCCTCTTCAACACATTTCTTCCTAGTTCCCAACCACCTTGATACCAATTATCAATATACTGAGAAAAGGAACCTAAGCAAGATTAAAAATTTATTAATTTCTTCTATAAGCTCTAATTCTCAAGGGGGAAAATATGAAAATTAAGTTATAAGGAGGCAAATTTAATTAAATGTATTTGGAGGAAAGAAGCATGTGAAAACGTTATACAAAGAAATAGATCTTTAATCAGGAAGGTAATGGCTTCTTGTAAAATTCTCAAACATATACATGGCCAATTCAAATATGTGTTATAAAATATATTCCAGTATAAAAACTAGAGCCTTTAACTATATGCTGGGGGTTGTGAAAATTCTACTTGCTAGAAATTTACCAGGTTAAGAATAAGATACAGTTTGGCCTGGCGTGATCCCATTTATAACAAAATGACATATATAAACGAAGTTTGAGCTATTTGGAAAAAATAGTGGTATTCTAATGGTGTATTATCTGACTAAAAGAAATCTGATCAAAACCAAATTGTTCAGTATGAATGACGACCATTTGGTTGAAATCTGTATATTCTACTTATTCATGTGAGACTTTTTGTGTTCCCCCCCTCCCAAACCTTATGTATTTCCTTTTAAACTTCTAATGCAATTATCTCCAAGAAAATATCCAACAATATGGGACTAACTTGTGACATCTAGTAATTAGCACTTAAATAACTGACTGACTACAGAACAATGTTATGGCCAGATTCCATTAGAAAAAAATTAAATCTGTATAGAAAAGGCCTCAACATTTTTTAAGGATTGAAATAATGTATGGATCATGGGTGGTATTATTAGTGTTCTTTATATTGGTTTGCTTGGATGTATTACCTGATTCTTCTGTAATAAGCATGCACTGCTTTTGTAATAAGAAAATAATAAAACAATAAAAAGATCTTGAATTTCAGATTTTTTTCAAAGTGATCCCCTAATAGTCAATGATTACATTATTCCAACAAATCCCCTATTGTTGGATATCCACTGGGAAATAAATTACGATGGGAAAATATGAAATAAAATGGGAAACAAGCCCAGAAAAATACTAAGCAGATAAAAGGGACAAAACTGCTTTATCATATAAAGGACAGAACACAAACAACTGATAATATAAAATCATCACTGATCATTTGCTAATAAAAATCAATTTAATCCAAATATCCTTTGCATCATATTTCTATCAGTCAAAAGCACTTGGAGCAACACTGTTATAATCTTTTAGATAAGAAAGCAAAACCTAATATCAGTTGAAAGAATTTAAAAAGAAAGTGAAGAATACTTAAGACATTTAAAAATCTTTGTCCCTAAGGAAACAAAGATGAGAAAACACAAAACACTAAGTAGTGCACTGGAAAACACAATTAAGTTTTATTACAAAACTAGCCTATCACACTACCTCTATTAGTCCTTTGTTGAGTGGATTTTGATACTCGGGCTGCTTTTACATCCTTGTGAGGAGTTATGCATGCTTCTTTATTCTTTTCTAGTAAAGGAGATAATGCAACAATGTAAACAAAAAAATAACCTCATGAAATATTTTAAATGGCCTTTCCAAGTCAATTTTTCAAAAAACAAATGACAACCAGCCCCATTCGCAGCTATTGAAAATGAATAAGTCAGTATTCCAAAAATGTGACTTCTAGAAAGTAAGCAAAACTGCCAAGACAGTATACATGGTCACATGATGAGAAATGTACACAAAAAAACTGTTAAGAGTAAAATAAACGCTTAGCAGTAATATGCTTTCCCAAGGGGATTAATTAGGATATTTTTCCTTTCATTTTTGAAACCCAGCCATGATACGGGGGAAAAAAAAAAAAATGTGTTTCAGTAAAGATGAAAAGGACAGAATCTTATAAATACTCATGTTAGTATGTTATTACCGTCTTCCTTTTGACAAATAGTCGTAGTTATGCTGGCATCCTGTGCCGTTACAGCGTGGTCACCATATTCTTTATTTCCTTTTTCTAACTGCATCTTGATTTTCTCCAAAGCTCTCAGACATGTCTTATCTTTTACTTGCTATAATAGAAAACGTTAACATTTTTTAAATGCAGCATTTTCTAATATTTCAAAACAGCTATATGCTGATAGCAAGTTGTTTTAAAACATTCTAAAAATTCTATTAAATTTATGAAGGAAACATCTCAAATGAGCAAAGTCACAGTATGTTAATATGTATAATTTAATACAACCATGTAAATTCTACTTTAATAAACATACATACATAACAAGAGTAATTAGAAATGAGTAATTAGAAATTACTTTACCTCCAGAATCTCATTCAACAGAACCAAAAGATCTTTAGCAAGATTGCTACTGAGTTCTAAAGAACTCAAGGCTTTTGTATAGACCCGAATTTCTGGTGAACACGGACATGTTAAAATCTCATTGCAAATTTTTAGTGCCAAATTGTCATGAACTGTTAAGGCCTAAAAAAATCAAGAGAAAAATCTTTGTAAACTGAAAATGGCATGATTACAATCCAGTCCTACACATTAACAAACATATCCAACTAATTATCTTGCCATCATCCCAAATGCAAAATGTCTACAACCGAATTTAACATATTCTCCCCAGATGAGCTCCTCTTCCAAACTTCTTGTAGTGGATGCTGTGGTACAGGGCCCAAGTCCGCCCCTGACTACTGGCGCCTTCATCCTCCAGCTCCTACGAGTTTTGGAGGCTCCAGGTTCCTAGGTGCAGAACTGATCCAGGCTGAAAGCTGGGCTCTGCCCAAGGGTTGGTCCACATTCAGTGACTGGCAGATGTACAGGTCTAAGGGACCAGCTTTGTCTCCACTCGCTAATTCAAAGGACGATCCCAGTTATGGAACTTCCCGGGGGATCACCTGGGACCTTAAGACTGTATGACAGTTCAACTTCTTCCTCTGCCCCAACCTATCTCCCTCACTCTTCCAAGATGTTACTCATGAGCGTACTCCCCCAATTAAAAAACGTCAACATGGGCCGGCAGAGTGGCTCAGTTGGTTAAGAGCTCGCTCAAGAGTTTGAGCTCTGAGCAACAGCGGTTCAAGTCCAGCCCGAGCTGAGCAGCCGCTGAGCTGCCAAAAGGTAGCAGGATGGCTCAGCTAAAAAAACAAACAAACAAACAAAAAACGTCAACATCCTCTTTGAAGTCTTGTCACCCATATTTAGAACCCTATTCAGGGTCCTTAGCCAGAAAGATATTTCCCATAGTTCAAACATACCTTTCACAAGCAGTTACATTTAATTACCCTCGCTATTGGGTTGTCGGAAAAGTCATGACGCATATTTGTAATGAAAAACACAGAAAAAAATACGTCATGACTTTTCCGACAACCCAACAGAAGTCTTTTTCTCTCTGACCCAAGCCACTCCCCAAATCCCAACAAGGGCCAGCTGAATTTTACTCACTAAATGTCAAACTGTAATGCTGTACTTATCACCCCCACCACGAGCCTTGGCCTCTAGTTCTAAAGTCCTGAAGCATTCAGCAGCTGTATCACCAACCCTTACTATATTTTGTCTAATGCTTTGTAATCGTCTTTCCAAATGTGTAACATAGTGATTTAAATGGAGTATACAGTCACTAAATATCAATTAAAATAAGCAAGCAATAGAATTGACTACTAAACATCGCAAAGGGGTTAGGGGCACCGATGCCCAGTGCAGTCAAAATCTGCATGTAATTTCTGACTCTCAAAAACGACTACAGTCATCTCAGTATCCGCGGAGGTACTTGTTCCTGGACCCTGCACCGCAATACCAAAACACGCAGTTGCTCAAATCCCTTATATAAAATGACAGAACAATGCATAGAGCCGTCCCTCCGCATCCGCGGATTCCCAACCTAGGATCAAAAATACTGTTTTCAATCCGAGGTTGGTTAAAACCGTGGCTTCGAAAACTGGGGATACAGAGGGCTGACTGTAAATTTATTGAAAAAAAACAGCGTGTAAGTGGACCCACACAGTTCAAACCCATTGTTGTTCAAGGGTCAACTATAATTCCAACTTAATCAACTACCATCTGAAATTAATAATATTAATTTTCAATATGGTGACAAGTTTGATCAAGTGACATTAAAAGATTAAAAACCCAGATTAAATTTAATTTTGGGGACAGTTTTAAGTTAACTTATCTTCTCTGCATTAAAAACATAAATAAGCTCGAGGTAAGCTTCATTCCTTGAATTCTGCTTCCTCCCATCAGAAACAGCAGGTAAGCCAATACTTGAAGACTCAGTGAGTCCCAGATAACATAGGTCATTATTCAGAATGACTAACAGCCAGTAGTGGGTGGGGAGGGAGCAGTGAAGGTGACTAATTTTTGGTAACACCTTTTCAGTGACAAAAATGTAAGCACTTCTATCTTCACATCCCCCAAAAGATCTTTTCCTTTTTCTTCCTTTGTGTTATGCACTACTACCTAGACCGTAAATTGCAAGATCAAAATGTAGCTTCTCTCTATTTCAAGGAATCTATCAAAGGGATTACTTTACCAAAAACACCCCAGTGACCTGCATGCCAAGTCATCCTTACAATCCACAGGCTAACATACCCACCTGGTAATCCTGGGAGTTCTTGGCCTGAGGATTTAATCCACTTGGTCTTGTCAAATCTACAAATAACTCTGCGACATTAGTGATATCTATTTCAGCTAAAGGAGAAGACGCAGGCGCACTGACCAGTGTTTGCAGAGTTGGAAAAAAGGCTTCTTCAAAACACTCCTGATTAGTCCTATTAAAAAACAAGTTGAAAGTATACTGGCAAAGAAAAACCAGATGGTTCTTAAAATTATATATCGTGCATAAAATTCACCCCATCAAGACACAGTCCATTTTCATCTAGGAAAGAGCCAAATAATTCGGGTAGATAAAATCTAGGTAAATTATTTTCATTTCATTGCTTACCACTGAAGAAAAAGAATAAACAACAAAATAAAACTACAGATATGATTCCTGGGTATTTGAATTTTACTTCCAGTCAAATTTTGATTTACCGATAGGATTGAATACCTGCTTGCATAAGCGAACATGGGGAAGAACACGCCCAGGCAGTGGCGCAGGCGCACATCGTCCTCACTCACAGGGTTGTACCATAACAAGACGAGGCGAGAGAGAATCCTGCTGCTGACCAGGAGCCCGCAGAACATCAGCTTGGCTAGTCCTTCTGCAGCTCCTGTCCTGAGTTCAGACACCTAATGAAAACAATTTTCATTCAAAGAAATATTTTATTTGTATTTCCTTTTTAAGCCTTAAAATGAAGCCTGTCCTACAGTATTTTTCTATGAACTATCCAAAAGTCATTCATGTTGTTATGAATTTGTTAAAGGCACATAAGATTTTATTTCCCCTTTTAGGTTAAGGCTATGTGACAAATTATTAGTCTAGCTATGAAAACTTCAATTCCTTGAAAGTTCTTTAGAAGAACCAAAAGGCCTTTTAAATATCGTGAACCCGAGAATCAGTGTGTATTAAGTGCTTACCATGGTGCTAAAATTAAAAAAAAAAGACCCTCAGGAAAGGTTCCTGCCATCAGAGGAAGAAGGGACCTATCAATGAAAGCTCCAGAGGTGAGAGTGGCAATGTGTCTGACTCAGGGGTAAAACGTGAAAGAAGGTGGAGAAGTGGAAAAAGACATTCCTAGAAATAGTAACCAAAACAAGCCTAGAGAAGAAAATGGAAAAGAAAATAGGGTGGTATTCAAGTGGAAGTACAGGCATAAAAGATTGATAGTTAAAAATACTGGCTATCGGGACAAATTCAAACCTCTGACACTTGCTAGCTACGTGGTCCTGTGCATGTTATCACTTTTCTCATATACAAGGAGGGGTCATAAAAGTACTTATCACAAAAGACAATTACAAGGAAAAAGAAATAATACATGTAAAGCCCTTAGAAGTGCTATCCACACAGTAAATCCTCAACAAATGTCAGCAACTACTTATTATTGATGAAAAGTAAGGTTACTCAGTGATCAGATTACAGAGATCTTGAAAATTAGGTAAAGAAATTCAACCTTAGTGAAGTAGGCTATGGAGCCACTGAAGGTTTTTGAAAGGGCAGGGAAACAAGATTTAAAATTTCAGGAACGTTATCTTGACAGGTTATAATCTAGGGATGAAAGACAATTCCAAACCAGGAGGACAGAAGTGAAAACAGTAGAATGAGCCAATAGAAGGTTATTTCAATTTTTTTTTTCAAAACTCTAAATAATAGAAAGATGCAGAGATAGATAAGATTAGTAAGTGCTTGGGCACTGGCATGCGCTTTCCACATACTAAGTCATTTAGGGCTCACGACAACCTATGAGGGCAGAGGCTGCTCCACTCAGCACTGCACACTTAAGAGCATATAGGACTGGCACATAATCAGCCCTCACATATTTATTAACTGAATTAAAGAACCATCCCACTGAACAGGCACATTATCCCCATTTTACAAATGAGGAAACAGGCCAGAGACAGTAAATACCTTATTGAAGGATCACACAGATACAACCAGAACACAAGTCTACAAACTCTAAGCCTGCATGCCTGCCACCTTTTTAAACTTTCTAACTATGACACGCTTTCCTGACGGCAACAGTAATCTATCTGAAGTTGAGTGGTGGGAATTTGAAATGGGACAGTGCCGCAAGTCTTTGAAGCATGTAAGTGGCTGTTACTTATGGCCTGGAGAACAGTCAAGGAAGTCTAGATTTTTTAAGTGGTAATGACAAAAATAAAGTCAAAGTCACAGAATCTAGTTCAGCCAGAAAGAGATTAATGTACCAGCAATATTAAAAAAAATCATTCATTTACTGTTGGTTTTAATGTTCGGTAGTTTTCCTACCTATGCAATGTTAGCAAGCCCAGAGGACTGGACAATTCCCAACAGAAAGCACATCATTTTGCTAACATCTCAAAATTTTAAAAGCCAACCTTGTGATTAGGTAGTTTAATCAATTTACACTTAAAGAAATCACTGACAAGGAAGGCCTTATGTCTGCCATTTTGCAGTCAAAATATAACACAAAAACTGTTACAAGAGACAGAGGACATTAAATATTGATTTTAAAAGTTCAATTTATCAAAAAGATAATTACAAATATATACACAACAACAAGGTCCCAAACTATATGAACAAACATTGACAGAATTGTAGGGAGAAACAGAGAACTCTACAACAACAACACTTAACGCAATGGACAGAAAAAGCGGACAAATCAGTGATGAAATAGAGGATCACTCTGAAAAGCAACAAGACCTACCAAAAATAGAAAACACTGCATTCAACAACAGCAGGATACGCATTCTTCTCAGGTACAACCTGGTACATTCTCAAGGATAAACCCTATGTTAGACCCAAAACATGTCTCGATAAATTTATAATGAAATCATAAAGTATCCTTCCAATCACAATGGAATACACGAAGAAAGGAATAAGAGAACTGTAAAATTCACAAATATGTGTAAACAATATATTCTTCTTACACACCAACGGGTCAAAGAAGAAATCAAAAGAGAAGTTAGAAAATACTTAGAGATAAATGAAAATGAATCCAAAACTTATTGGGTGCAGTGAAAGAGGTGCTCCAAGGGACACTTACAGCAATATAAGCTTACATTAAAAAATATCTCAGGGCCGGCCGAGTGGCTCAGTTGGTTAAGAGCTCGCCCAAGAGTGCAAGCTCTGAGCAACAGGGTCACTGGTTAAATTCCTGGCCCAAGCTGAGCTGCCGCTGCTAAAAAGAAAAAAAAAAACAAAAAAACAAAAAAAAAACCCACATATTAAACCCAAAGAAGGAGAAAGAAAAATTACAGAGAGGTAAACAAAATAGATAGAAAAATAATAAAGAAAAGTCAATGAAACCAAAAGTTGGTTCTTTAAAAAGATGAACACAGCTGACAAACCTTCAGCTAGACTGACAAAAAAGAAGATGCAAATAAATAAAATCAGAAATGAAAGAAGGGATGTTACAACTGGCTTACAGAAATAAAAAGGATTGTAAGAGAATACTATGAAAAACTAAGCATCAACAAATTAAATAACCTGGATGAAATGGACAATTCCCTAGAAACACACAAATTACCAAACTGACTCAAAAAGAAACAGAAAATTTGAACAGACATACAACAATAAACAAATTGAATGAAGAAATCAGAAGCCTCCCAAAAAAAAGTCCAAGACCAGATGTCTTCACTGGCAAATCCTAACAAACATTTAAAGAAGAATTAACACCAATCTGTCTCAAAGTCTTCCAATAAACAGAAAAGGAGGAAACAATTCCTAACTCACTTTATGAGGTATTACCGATACACAAGAAACTACAGACCAATTTTCCTTATGAGTACAGATGTATTTAAAAAAATCTTAAAGAAAATACTAGCAAACCGAATCCAACAACATATTAAAAAGATTATACATCATAACCAAGTGGGATTTGTCTAACGAATGCAAGGGTGGTTCAACATAAGAAAATCAAGCAACGCAGTGTACCACACATCAATGAAGCAAAGGAAAAAAAAATCTAAATTGATAAAGAAAATGCATTTTAAAAAATTAAACATGATTTCATGATTCAAAAAAACAAAAAACCACTCCAAGAAGAACAGAAGGGAACTTCATCAAAGTGATAAAGGATACTTTTGAAGAATCCACATCATATTCAATGACTAAAGACTAAAAAATTTTCCCCCTAAGAAATAAGACAAATTACCTTTTTAACCACTGCTATTCAACACTGTACTGGAAGTTCTAGCCAGAGCAAGTAAGCAAGAAATAAAATACATTCAAATTGGAAAGGAGAAATTAAAACTGTTTCTTCACAGATGACATGATCTTAGAGAAAAATCTTAAACACACACACACACACACACACACACACACACACACACACTATCTACAAGAGCTGATAAATGAATACAGCAAAGTAGCAAGATACAAATTCAGATCAACACACACAAAAAAAGTTGAATTTCTATAAAACATCAATAAAGAATCCAAAAAGGAATTTAAGAAAACAATTCCTTTTACAATAGCATCCAAAATAAAATACACAGGAATAAATTTAACCAAGGAACTAACAAACTTGTACTCTGAAAACTATAAAACATTTCTGAAATTGAAAACAAGCTAAAAAAAATGGAAAGGTGTCAAGTTCATTGGTTGGGAGACTGAACATTGTTAAGATGACAATACGCCCAATGCAATCTACATATTCAAAGCAATCCCAGTCAAAATTCCAAAGGACTTTTTAACAGAAATGGAAAAGCCAATCCTCATAAGGAATTGCAGGAGACCCCGAATAGCCAAAACAATACTGAAAACAAAGAACAAAATTGGAGAACTCAACTCTCCGATTTTGAAACTTACTATGAAGTTATATTAATCAAAACATTCTGATACTGGCATAAAGACAGACATAAACAATGGAATAAAACTGAAAGTTTAAAAATAAACTCATACACCAATGGTCAACTGATTCTCAGCAATACTTCCAAAATGAATCAATGGGAAAAGAACAGTCTCTTCAACTACTAGCGCTGACACAGCTGGATGTCCACAGGCAAAACAATGAAGGTGAACCTCTACCTCACACCACATACAAATATTAACAGAAAGCGCATCAACAGCCTAAATATAACAGCTAAAGGAGTAAAACTCTTAGGAGAAAACACAGGGATAAAACTTCATGACTTGGATTTGACAATATATTCTTAAGTGTAACACCAAAAGCACAAGCAGAAAAAGAAAAACAAATTCATTTTCATCAGTATTTTTAAATTTTTATGTATCTAAGGACATTATTAAGAAAGTACAAAGACAACTTTTAGAAGAAAATATTTGCTTATCATATATCTGATAAGGATATACTACCCAGAATATATAAAGAATTCAAAAAGGACAACCCAATTAAAAAATGGGCAAATACTGAGCAACAGCGGTTCGATGCCTGGCCCAAGCTGAGCTGCCACTGAGCTGCCAACAGGTGGCAGGATGGCTCAGCTAATAAATAAATACATATAAATACATAAATACATATATACATGCATACATACATACATAAATAAATAAATAAAATGGGCAAATAGACATTTGAATGGACACTTCTCCAAACCAGATACACAAATAGCAAACAAGCACATGAAGATATTCATCATTAGTCATTAGGGAAACGCAATTCAAAACCACAATGAGGTGCCACTTTAATCTACTAAAAAATGGCTCAAAAATTTTTTAAATGGAAAACAGTGCTGGGCCAGCCGAGTGGCACGTTGGTTAAGAGCTGGCTTGGGACACCAGAGGGCCCCGGTTCGGATCCCACATATGAGAACCAGTGACACTGCCCTCCACAGCTAAGATGGTGAACAACAGCTCAACCTGGAGCTGGGTGGCTGTGAGTTGCCGGTGACAGGGTAGGCTGCAGCCCCTGCTGCAGTGGGTTGCCATGGGCTACTGTGTGTAGCCAGCAGCCAGCGTGAGCGGCCATCAGCCACCGTGAGCGGCTGTCCAGAAGCCGGCAACTGATCTGCCTCGCTCAGGAAGAGCGCAATGATGGTGCCAACTTGGGTCAGTGAAGCAACGTCCTCCACAACTAGACTGAAGAACTAAAAGAATAGCAACTTGTCTGTTCCCCTTCCCCCAATTCCCCAGCGCTGTTCCTATCCCCCAATTCCCCAATAAAAATCTTTAAAAAAAGAAAATAGTGCTGATAAGAACGTGAAAAAATTAGAAACCCTTGTACATTGATGGTAAGAATGTAAAATGATTCGCTGTTGTAGAAACCATTTGGCAGATCTCAAAAAGTTAAAGAAATTACTAATATGAAACCATAAAACTCCTAGAAGAAAACATAGGGGTAAGCTCCTTAACCTAGGTCTCGCTGATGATTTTTTTGATTTGATACCAAAAGCAAAGGCAAAATAAACAAGGGGCGCTACATTACACTGAAAAGCTTCTGCACAGCAAAGGAAACCATCAACAAAATGAAAAGGCAGCCTATGAAATGGGAAAAAAATTTGCAAATTTTGTATCTGATAAAGGGTTAATATCCAAAATATATAAAGAACGCAATAGCAAAACACAACAAAAAAAAATCTGTCTAAAAAATGGACAGAAGAACTGAATAGACAGTTTTCCAAAGAAGACATACAAATGGCCAACAGGTACATGAAAAGGTGCTCAACATCACAAATCATCAGGGAAATGTAAATCAAAACCACAGTGAGGTACCACCTTACACCTGTTAGAATGGCTATCATAAAAAAAAAATAACAAGTGTTGGTGAAGATATGAAGAAAGGGGACCCTCATGCACTGTTGGTGGAAATGTAAATTGATGCAGACACTACTGAAAACAAAAAATTAAAAGCAGAACTACCATATGATCCAGCAATTCCACTTCTGGGGATGTATCCAAAGGAAATAAAAACAGGATCTCAAAGATATATTAACACTCCTATGTTCATTGCAACATTCTTTACAATAGCCAGGATATGGAAAGAACGTAGTGTGCATCTATGGGTGAATGGATAAAGAAAATGTGGTGTGTGTGTATATACATATACAATAGAATATTGTTCAGCCATAAAAAAGAAGGTAATCCTGCCATTTGCAACAACATGGAAAGAACCTGAGGACATTATGCTAAGTGAAATAGCCAGAGAAAGACAAATACTGCATGCTACAACTTACATTTGGAATCTTTAAAAAAAAAAATGTCAAACTCAAAGAGTAGAAAAGTAGTTGCCAGGAACTGGGTGGTGAGGGAATTATAGAGAGGTTGGTAAAAGGGTATAAACTTTCAGTTATAAGATGAATAAGTTCTGTACCTTAAAAAAAAAAAGATGAGTAAGTTCCAGAGACCTAATGTAAAACATGGTAATTGAATGAAAGTTGATAACACTGTATTGTATAATTAAAATTTGCTGAGAGAAGTTAAATGTTCACATAAATAAATAAAGTAAGTAAGTAAGTGTTGGATGTGTTAATTAACTAGATTGGGGGGAATCCTAAGAAAGAAAAAAAAAAAGAATTCCCATATGACCCAGTAATCTCACCCCGAGGTATATACCCCCAGAAATGGGTACTCAAACACATGTTAATGAATGTTTGTGGCAGCACTATCTGTTCACAGTAGCCAAAGGTGCAAACAGCCCAAACATCCTTCAGTGGATGCATGGCTAAACAAATTACAGTGTGCGTGTGTGTGTGTGTGTGTGTGTGTAACGGGATATTGTTCTACTATAAGAAATGAAGTGCTGACACAGATACAGCACGGATGATCCTCAAAGACAAGCTAAGTGAAAGGAAGCAGACACAGTCACATACTGTATAATTCCATTTACATGAAATATACAAAATAGTTAAAATGCAGATTGGTGGTGGTCAGCGGCTTGCGAGAGGGGAAATAGAGCAACTGCTTAACGGGTTAAATTTCCTATTGGGATAATGCAAATGTTTAAAAAATAAGAGGTGGTTGTTGCACTACACTATGAATGTACTAAATGCCAATGAATTGTTCACTTTAAAACTGTTAGTTAGGGCTGGCTGAGTGGCGCGTTGGTTAAGAGTTGGCTTGGGACGCCAGCTCTGAGCAGCAGGGCCACGGTTCGGATCCCACATGAGGGCCAGTGACACTGCCCTCTACAGCTAAGATGGTGAACAACAGCTCAACCTGGAGCTGGGCTGCCGTGAGTCGCCAGCGACGGCGTAGGCTGCAGTGGGGCTGCAGTGGGTTGCCATAAGCTATCGTGTGTGGCTGGCAGCCAGCGTGAGCTGTCATGAGCCGCCGTGAGCGGCGGTCCAAAGGCTGGCGACCGATCTGCCTCAGCCGGGAAGAGCACAATGATAATACCCACATGGGCCAGTGAAGCGACGTCTTCCACAACTAGACTGAAGAACAAAAGGACAGCAACTTGTCTGTTCCCTTCCCCGATTCCCCAACGCTGTTTCCTCCCCCAATAAATCTTTAAAACAACAAAATAAAAAACTGTTAGTTCATGTTATGTCAATTTTACCTCAATAAAAAAAAAACTGATATAAAAGTTTTAAATTAAATGTTTATATATCCTAGAAAATGCAGTTCAAGAGTATCTTAAGAAAAGATACTACCTTAGACCTTCCAGCCACCCAATGTAAAATTATTTTATTTCTCAAAACTCTTGATAAAATTACTTAATGACTAATAAATCACAAAGACGGGAAAAGATTAAAAAATAAGAGCAACCGCTTTAAATAGTCATTTCATTTTTGTTTACACTTCAATTCTCTGCACATACAATTTGATAGTGAGAAACTAAGCATATTAGAAGTAAAAGTGGAATTTAATTATGATATTAAAGAGGCAAAGTTTTGAAATGTTGGCCAAGTTGAAATCTCAGCCTAAAAAATATAAGTATAAAGAACATAAACATACCTGCTGAAAACAACATTCATAATAATAGGGCTGTAATTATTTCTTACCTCACTGTCTAAGAAATCAGCAAGGAGTTTCAGAATATGCTTGGCTGTAGCAGTCTCTTTTGCTTCTTTTGATTCTTGCTCTTCATCAGTGTTTATTTCTGCATCTTCACTTTGAAGGGCTTTGCTGTTTTTAGTTTTAAATGGTTCAATCCCAAATGTCATCAGTTGGTCAAAGATTGCTTTTAAAGCACTTATTTTTATGGCCACATCATCAATTTGCAAAACCTAAATTGAAATACACCCCCCACAAAAAAGTGAATTTGGTAAATTTTTAATTGTTTATGCTGCATAAAATTAACATGTATCTTATTTTCTTAGTCTAATTCAGCAAGTATCAAGACTACACATAAAACATTTTTTAAATAATTATAATTTCCATTTTACAGTTATTCTTTTTATTTGTACCATAACATTTAGTTATATTTTCTTCAGAAAAATTTCATCTTCAGTCAAAAAAATTCCTGAAATTAGTGTCAGGCTGAATTATATTACCTGTTCCTTTTATTTAAAAATGAATGGAGGGCCAGCCAAGTGGCTCATTTGGTTAAGAGCTTGCTCAAGAGTGTGAGCTCTTAGCAACAGGGTCTCCAGTTTGATTCCCACATGGGCCAGTGAGCTGCGCCGGAGCTGAGCTGCCACTGAGCTGCCAACAGGTGGCAGGATGGCTTAGCTGGTGAGAGCACGTGCTCCTAATAAGAAGGTTGCCTGGTCAGATGGTAAGCTACGCCCACCACAACTAAGACTGAACTCTTGGCGCCTTGAGCTGAGCTGCCACTGGGAAGGCTCAATGGATAGAGCATGCGCTCTTAACAACAAGGCTGATAGACTCCCGCGTGGGATGGTGGCTATGCCCACTGGCAACTAACTGAATACAGCCGGGTGACTGGACTTGGAGCTGAGCTTGCTGAGCCTTCCACAACTAAAACTGAAGGACAACAATTTGGCTGTTCCCCTCCCCCAATTCCCCAATAAAATCTTAAAAAAAAAAAAAAAGAATGAATACATTCATAAGATCTAGAAAACTTGTTCAATGGTTTGGGGCTATCTATCAAGACAAAAACATTGTATTTTAACCAATAAAAGCATTTCTTAGAACATCAATACTCTTCTAGGTATCAAGTTTCATTACAGATAAATTTTTCTCTTATTAGCTCAATAAATTCAGATTTCATTATAAAGAGATTTACTGTATTATTTACTGCACTTAAATTTTGGTGATTGATAAACTTGGCTAATAGCTTAACCTTCAAAATGAATGAAAATCACCTGAAAGCTGGTCAAATTAGTAAATTGAGAAAAATGGCTCAAAATTATAACTTTGAAGGAAATTCCAAGAACCTATCTATTATATATTTTCTAATGGCAAAACCAACAAATCTGTCAAAGCCAAATGCTTGTAAGAGCATTGTCATGACTATTCTCTAGAAATGCTAAACATGCTTCTCACTAACACCAACTTGGTTTTCCTTGCCCTTCTCAGTCGCTTACTGGCTAGCAGCAGCTAACAATACTGGAGATTTATTTCAGGAAGCTTTTAAAATAATTTCCCTCTGCTGCTTTTCTAACACATGTTTAGACATTTCTCAAATCAATTTTTATTATTAAAACTGACTAAAACAGACTGATCTCTTACTCCCCCCAAAGAGAGCTATTGTAGTTCACCTTCATCGAAGATCTTCCAGTGATAGCCCTGAAAATACCTTTATAAAGATAAATAACTGAATTTATTCAGTGATTGACCTTTTTTGCTCGTGAACCTTAGAGTACCCCGCCCAAAACATACAAAATTATAGGGAAGAGTTCACATGCAATTTACTTTACTGCATTTGCATCTATCATTCAAAAACAACATTTTTAAATCACAAAAAATTATATCAACTTTATTCAGGCAAATATTAATAGTTATCACCTGAAAAGATTAAGTTAAGAGATCAAAGTTGTTTAAACCAAAAAAAAAAAAAAGGTAAACATTAATTCCATGACAAGGTTGCTATTGACTGGTTTGATTTGAAAGAAGGTATAATAGTGGGATGGTCTTGATAAGAAATATTCATTTATCTTTCACATCAACCTGATTTTCACAATCCTTTTCACTACAGGAAATTATATAGGAGTGCACAGTATCATGGCTCCTACAGCTCTCTCAAGTGGGGGGATGAATTAGTATTAAGTAACTTCAAAATGCTCCAGGACACTTACACATTAAATTCATATTGCATTTCTTCTGTCTGAAATGACCAAACCACTCATATATATCAGCAAACATTAAAAGGATGAAAATCCACATTTCATCTTCAAAGGTCAAGTGAACTTAAACACTTTTGAAAAGAGTTCTTTTATGGTATTCCCTTTTCTGCAGTACTAGAAATTTTATGACTGTCTACCTCCAATCTCCTCTATCAGACCGAGTTCCAACTTGACTACAACTTATCACTTCTCAGCAGCATTCATAACAATATATAGGACAACTTAATAAACATTACACCTCATTTTTAGAGCCAAAACGAACTACTTAGTAAGCTAGACATAAAGGAACCTTTCACTATCAAATAATCTAATAAGATTTTTTCTTTCACTTAAAGAAAAGTAATGACCAGGGTCACTCTAGCACTTCAAGATAGAACTTTTAGAAAGCTAAGAAAGTGAAGCAGAGAATTTTCTGTTCTAATTTCATAGCAAAACCTCTTTTAAAATGTAGGATTTTTTTCCTGGGCATCAATGCATTTCACAATAGTAAACAAAACTTCCTTTAGAATTACTAACAGAATCACTGATGCCTAGCATACTACATATTACTTTTTATTGTGTGTTTCCTCTTCTAAAATGTAAACTCCATTAGGACACCAACTTTTATCTTGTTTTTTTTCTTTACCCATCTTATTTTGTCCTAAGCCTAGGATAATGCTGGGCATATGTAGTATGCATTCAATAACATTTGCTGTATGAATCATTTAAAAAATACCTTAAATAACTGACAGTTCATCCTTTTTCTACAGAGATGTTTTAATAAGAAAACTAAGATTAAAAAAAAGTCATCCATAATAATCACCATCATCAACAGGCCCAGAACACATTAGAGTACTAGCATTATCACCACAGATTCTGAGTATTTATTTCAGGAAATACAATCAAGATTTTGTCGCAAGATAAATCCTACCTGCAATAGTAACACAAAGTGTTTACTTGCAAAACTCTGATTCTGTAGTCCACAGCATCCCAAGCATAAAACAGCCAGGTTTCTTACTACAGGATGAACACTTATTATTCCAGGAAGAATCTAATGTGAATTAGAAATTATAATAATTTTACCAGGACAAGAAATTTACAATAGTATATTAAAAACATGGTCAAAACGATAACTTTTGCACGATTTTGTAGATCTACATTTCCATATTGTCTATGAACTCAAAGAAGCAAATTTCAGTTGGAAAAAAAAGGTAAATATTAAGTTGCTAAAACACAAGAATATAGCCAGATTGAAACAATCTGATCAAGAGACAACTCCCCCTCCACCTGCTAAAACTTTCTCAATGGCTTCCCAATGCTCATAGGACAAAGATAAAACTCCTATAACAGGACATATAATATGCCTCGTGTACTCTTTGCCAGTATCATCCTATAGTATGCTACCTTGCTCTTTGCTTATTCAATTGTCTGATTTTAATACCTCCCATTCAGTGTTCTCCACTAGAAATACAATGCAAGGCACATGTGTCATTTTTAATTTACGAGTAGCCACATTAAGGTAAAAAGAAACAGGTAAAACTAATCTTTATTTTACCCAATATAACCAATATATATATTATCATGCATCATGTAATCAATATTTAAAAATATAAATAATTTAAATTGTCTGTTTAGTCTTCAAAACAATAGATTTTTACACTTACAGCATATCTCAGTTTGGACTAGTTTTAATAGCTACAGGCTTTAATAGCCGTATGTGGCTGGTGGCCGCTGTACTGGAGATAGCAGGTCTAGAACAGTCTTCCGTCCTTCTTTACCTAGTTAATGTCTACACAAATATCAGATCAAGGTGACCTTCCATGAATATATCAAATTTCAAAATCCACTATTGTAAGTTCACATATGATCATATAGCTCTTACAGCAATTATCATGGCGTAAGTGTCACCTGTTTATGTGACTAATGTCCTCCTCACCTGACCAGAAGCTCCGTGAGGGCAGTCTATATCATGTGTGCGCTATCCCCAGCATGTAGTCTATTGTAGATGTTCAATAATATTGTTCAATTTATAATTTATGATTTTTAGTTAAACGGTAATTTCTTTAAAATCTTGTAGCTCCTGGATCTAAATACCTTACTCTTTCATATCCCTCTATAGTCTCTTTCAATAGCCCCAGGTTGTTTTATACACTTAAAATTACTACGACCATTCACTTTTGTGTTCTTTCTTCACTCAATATTGTCTCTTTCCCCACATATATACAGTTTTCATATTTACTACTTCAATTGTATAATTATACCATAATTTACCACTTTTACAATAGGACCAGGCATAAAGTATGCAAGCAGAACTTTAAAAGTATCACTTTTCATTAAAGACATCTGCTTCACTAAAAATAATACTAAATCCTAATGGTTTAATAGAATCTAGTTTTAATCAAAAGCTCTATGCTGCTGTAAACAGTAATTGATCTTTACTACATTAAGAAACTCATGACAATCCAAATTTTCGATCACATTCAGTGGCTGTTTTTCACTAATCCCAAGTAAAAACAATTTTGGGAGAATCCTGAAAGAGCTTGGACACATTCAAAATTTGCTTTGGATGAGTGGCACTACTGAAAAGAGCAGTCTAGAGCTGCACTGTCTAATGCTGTGGCCACTGACCACCTCTGACAACTGAACCTTTGAAATGTGACTAGTCCAGATTGAGATGGGCCCTAAGATTTATACACAATATCTCAATAGTTTTAATATCAGTAAATGATGAAGTTATAATATTTGGGGTATATCAGGGTAAATATATTAAAATTAATTCCACCTACGTCTTTTTTTATTTTTTAAATGTGGCTACTAGAAAATTTAAAGTTACGTGTGGTATGCATTTTATTTCGACCAGACAACACTGTTCTAGGGTCTTGCAGTATTTATGTCCCTAAGAGCAGTAAAGGTTTATGAAGGGTTACTCAAGTAAAAAGTCTTTTAAATATACAGTAATAGCAAATTCCTTCCACAGGGCTCACAATGTAATTTTCTCATACTCTTCCTCTTTAGGAAAATTTCCAGTACTTAAACATTCCTGCTGTGTTTCTGTAGTTCCTCTTACTATTCAAAGAATGAAGATATTTTTCATCTTTCCAGCATAAAATAATTTTCTCATACATTTTAGAGGAATAACTTATATACCAGTTTCTTTACATGCATCATCTTAATTTAATCCTCACAATATGAAGTAGCCACTACATTTTTTTTTTACCATTTATATTCGTCTAATGTTTAAAATGATCATCTTTTCATTCTTTTGAACCCCAAGGAACATATTACTTACAAAATGAAGAAGGAGTGGGCAAAAATAAAGCTTCAAAGGCCACAAACATACCAAAGATTCAATGATGCCATTCATGGTTGCACCTATACCTATTGAAGTGGACATCTGCTTCAACAGTTCATAACACAGAATAAGACACTTCTGTAGTGTTTCAGCATCATTCTAAAATGAAACACAAAATACTCAGCATTAGCAAGAATATCTTCTGCCTATCCCTTAAATGTTTGATTTGTCAGGGCTTTGTCTAAGGCATATTGCCTCTGCAGACACTCCCTGGGCAATCTCATCCAGTCATACAACCTCATTTACCATCTATGAGCAGCCCAGCTATTTTCTAAGTTTCAGACTCATATGTGCTGCTGAAAGACATTTCTTATGTGTTCCACAGGCGACTCAAATTCAAAATGTTCAAAAGGTAATTCACTCATCATTACCCAAATCCCTCCTCCTCCTGTGCTATCTCCATAAATATCACTGCCATCTACCCAGTTGTCCAAACCAAACGTCCATCATCCACTCTTAACTCACTCTTCTCCCTGTAACTAATTCCTAATACTTCTCTAGTCTAACACTTCTTTCCATATCCACCATCATCATCTTGTTCAGACTGTAATCATTTCAAGCCTACATTACTGTAACAGTCTTCCAACTAGTATGCCTGCTTCGGCTTTTACATGCTGAAATCCATTTCCTGAATAACAGTGCTCTTTCTAAGACATAATAAATTCTGGTAGTTCACCAGGTCCTTGAATAAGGCAAAAATTTTTAAGTATTGCTTATAAAAGGTCTTACATGACCTAACCCTTAATTTCCCCCCCAGATTTCTCATAACTCCCCCTCAATTCTCTAGTCATGTGGACTGACGTTTCTAAACACAACAGGCATTCTTTAACTTCTTTAACATGTCATTCCATCTGCCTACAAGTTTTCCCGTGACAACTAATTCATTGAGGAGAGACAACACAGCGTGCGTTAAAAGCACAAACCTAAAGCCAGTTGCCTGGAATCCTGCCTCCATCGTTTACTATCTGTGTGGTTTTGGGGAAGTTACTGGCCCGCTATAAAATGAGAATAACAGTGCCTACACCATAAGGTTATAGCGAGAATCAAATGTACGTATTCACATTTGTGAAGTGCTTGAAGCAGTGATTACCACACACAAAAAAATGTATCCTGTAACTGTCAGCATATATTATTTTTATTCAAATCATAAGTTAAAATATTTTTCCTCTAGAAAAGCCAACAACACCCTACCTGGGTTAGACAGGTAAAACTTAAAACCCCTGTACTATACATAAAACCCCTCTATTTCCCTGACCATAGCACTTTATTATGCTATGCTGTATTTGCACTACAATAGATTTACAACCCTGAAATAGGACAAACGAACACATAAATGGTCAAAGCAAGTCAAGTTAAACAGATAGTAATCATGGTAGACCACCTTTGGTAATATTCAGACCTGCAGTTTATAGTTTTTCAGTTTATATTTTCATTTTTCACTATAAATTTGATCTTCAAATTGAAGAGCCTATGATCCAAAGATTTTGTCAAACAAAAGAAAGAAGCTACTAGCTATGAAAATAAAATTCAGCCATACTCACTGGGAAGGCAAGGTGTTGTAGTGGGGATGTCTATGGCTAAAGAGTTCAAGGGCATAACATAACATACAGGACATTCCTGTGTAGTAGGCTCCTCTCTATCAAGCACTCTCTTTATGAGAATACACTAATCAGCACATCCCAAACCGAAAGGACAGTAATAAATGAGGTTTACTACAAAAGGCAAGATCCTTAGACCTCCTGAATTCAAGTTAATATTAAATAGTATAGTAATTGAGAACATTCTCTCTTATGCTGAAATAAGGCTAGTTTGTCAAATACAGGTTAAGTTTAAAAAAGAAAGACTGCAGAAACTTAGCTTTAAATGTTGCTAGATATTTAAGTTGAGTTTTTCATTTAAAATAAAGTATTTAGCATTTTCTAAAGACAAGAGTACAGTCATGCACGCACAATGTTCGGTCAATGATGGACCCCATATACAACAGTGGTCCCGTGAGATTGTAATGGATTATAAGCAAAAAGTTTCCTTGTGATGTTGAAAGAAAAGTCAGGACTTGACTAGATGTTGAATTTACTGCTAGCTCTGGGTGGTTTAAATACACAGGAGGCTCAGCATGCTGTCTGTCTGCTGTGTACCAGCCTGCGGCTGGGCCAGGAGCTGGCATGAGCAGGGGAAGCTGAGGAGGAGCCTGGAGCAGCCCTGCCTGCACGCATGCCCCGCACGCCCCCACTCCCACTCCTGAGCACAAACTCTCTTCCCTTCTTCCCTTCCCTCCCAGTCCTGTCTCTCTCTGCTCTCACTCACTCTTTCTCTCTCTGCTCCCCCCTCCCTTTTATATTTCTCTTCTCAAGCTCTGGGTCTCTTATGACCTCTGCTCTCCCTTTTTCTCCCCTTTTCTTCCTTCCATCTCTCCCTCCTCATGACCTGTAATCTCCCTCAAATGGTACCTTCCTCCACAGCCCTCTCCCTACCCTCCCAAAAGGTGTGCACGAGAGCACAAACACATATTTTCTTTTATACTGTATTTTTACTGTATCTTTTCTGTTTAAATACACAAATACTTACCATTGTTACAAATGCCTCCAGTAATCAGTACAGTAACATGCCGTATAGGTTTGCAGCCTACGAGCAATAAGCTATACCATATAGCCTAGATATGGAGTAGGCTCTGCCACATTTAGGTTTGTGAAGTGTACTCTGTGATGTTCACACTCACAAAATCATCTGACGCCGCTTTTCTCAGAATTTATCCCCGTTATGTGATGCATGGCTGTAATTAAGCTTTAAAAGATATTTATATAATGGCATGGTTACCACAGAAATTCTTTTCCTAGCAGCAGAAAGGTCATGAATCTTCCACAAATACAGAAAAGATGAATAGATGGATGCCTTTTCCTTTTCTGAACCATTCAAGACCAAAACACAAGAAAACGAAAAGCCCAAAACAGAAGGAAACCACTGGAAAGGCAGGAAGACTTTAGATTCCCAGGATTAGCAATTAAGGGAGCAAATAAAGTCCTAGCTACAATTAGTTAAAGTTAATTAAGGCCTTTCAAAGTCCGAAATAGAAACAGAAGGAAAAATATTTTTCACGGTACTGTTAAAAATCCCTCCAAATTGAATATATTCTGACAGCTTTCTGAATTAAGAAAGAAAACAAGGACAGGGCCGGCCGAGTGGCTCAGTTGGTTAAGAGCTCGCTCAAGAGTTTGAGCTCTGAGCAACAGCAGTTCGAGTCCAGCCTGAGCTGAGCAGCCGCTGAGCTGCCAACAGGTGGCAGGATGGCTCAGCTAAACAAACAAAACAAAACAAAGAAAGAAAACAAGGTTTAATTGAGATGATTAATAAACAGATGAAATTTAGTATAAAACAGTTATCTATACCTTCTCTACATGGACTTCTTTAATTTCAAGTTGCTCAGTCTCTTTCAATAGGTTTGATTTGTCATCTTCTAATGCTCTTATTTTTTCTTTTAATTCTGATGCTTGATTAAAATCCTGTAAGGTAATACAATTTTCCAAAGCTTCTTTTGCCTCAATAAGTTTCACTTTTATTTCAGCCATCTGAGGAAAGATGTAAATTGATGGTGTAAATACCAAGCAAAAACTATTAATATAAAAATCTGTAGCAAACTGAAGGGTATAATTTACAATTTTAAGGACCCAGAAGTTAATCAGTCAGCCATATACAAAGTTGTAGTGTTCCTGAAACAGAGATCTGCCAATCTTTCAGACTGATATAATCTGGTTAACATTTTAGATCCTCTTATAGTTTAATAGTTAATCAATGTGACTTTGTAAGGACAATTTTGAAAATGTACAGCAAGGGGAAATAAAAGACTTGCGCAACTACATTATATTCAAGCATTTCTTTAACTTGGAAGAGATTTACCTTGAGTTCTTTCTTTCTTACATCAGCTGGATTAACACCAACAGTGACAATGGGCGCCCGAATCTCTGAGATGATTTCTGTAACCTGATAAGTAGTTATAATTCAGAGTACATGCTTTAATCTAGGTTTTATTTCAGAAAAAATGACATCAAACTGCTACGTAAAATTCCAAGCAGTATCCAGAATCTCTTGAAAAACAGAGCAAAACATACAAGTAAAAATGGTACATTCTATTTGCTAGACAATTTTAGAAAAAAAAAAAATGACCACAAAATATATCTGACTAAAAACTCTAAGATTGTGAAAAGATAATAGGCACATAGACATTGAAGATAAATTCTCATATATTGCTTGAAAAACAGAAAAAGTGAATACAGTGTCTAACCTTAGGCACCTTTAAAAAAAACTAAAATTCTCTGCCAAAAAATCCTCAACTCCTTCCCTTGTTTAGCTCCATGGGAGTTAAGTATAAAAAATAAAATACTCCTTTATTGTTCCTCTGGATATACAATGCAAGAATAATGACAACATAAGTAAAGACTTTCCTTTCAGAGCCACTGGGACACTGGAGTTGGCCGGCTGAGGAAAGAGGTCCATCCCAAATGAGGGTACTTAGCTGACACTGGATACTTAACCACTAACTGGAAATGCTGTACAAGGGATTTATGTGTAAGTATGTATATATAAGGAGGGGTTGGAAAAGACAACCTCTGAATTAACCTACATCTCCGAGACAGTTTGATTTTATGAAAAGCAATGACACAGGTCTGGCTTTTTTGCGAACTCCAGAGAAAAAAAAAGCTTGGCAATAGTAATATTATAATAACATTTATTTCTCTACTTACAAAGCACTTTGTGAACATTATTTCATTGAACAATGAAAGGCAGGTTTTATTGTTCTTATTTTGCAAACAAGTAAAAAGGCTAAATTAAATAACTTGCCCAAAGTCACAAAGCCAGAAAGTGTCAGAGGGGATGTGAACCCAGGGATGTATAATCTGAGCCAGCTCTCAAACACTCTAGTGACGAATGCCCACATGTCACCTCTTCCCCAACCTGCTCCATTTCAAATTGATACAACACAGTAATAGGTATACTAAGAGGAGATTTTTTTTTTTTATGTGTATGAGAGAGAGAGAGATTTGGTTTTAAGTTTAAAAACTTGATAGACAAAACTAAAATGAAAGGCAATTAAAGAAAAGCAAAAAGTACTGAAAAGTAAGACAATCCTCAGTCATTGACCAAAGCCTCTTAGCTTCATCAACAAAAATCACTTACAATTTGTATTCTCTTATTATCATCTATAACGATGTCAAGCAGTCTCTCAACGAGAAAAGAAATTAGGGATATCGGGGTTGTGGGTAGAGTGAGAATCTCCTGCAAAATAGCCAGCAGTCGTTTCCTGCATTCAAAAAGAATGATTTTAATTTAAATATGACAGTAGAAACACATTTTCTCTCTTAACATTTCACTTATTCTGCAGACTTAATCACATTTGTCTCAGTTCTGTTTTTGTATGTCACTAAAGATACAAAAAATATGTACAGATTTTAGGTCAAAAATTCACATTCTGCAAAAAAAATAATTTTTATTTTTAAATGACCTTAAAATCTTTCATAAAAATCAACATGATGAACTGACAAAATACCAGAAGTGAATCAACTCTTTTAGATAGTATTACTAGCCCTCTCTGTAATAAAGGTAAATAGATTTTTAAGCAAACACCTATAATTTCAATGATTTATTCAAAAGAAGCTTAATCAGACCTCATGTATTTTATGCACCACACACAGAAAGGGGGAGGAAGGGAAAGGATATATTTCCTCATATATTACATATGTAAGAGGAAAGAGATTGCTTTTTGTAGCCCGTTACAGAGAGCTAGGTTAAACATATTTAATCATATTGTAACAAGACTATATTTCAATACAGGAAATTTAAAAGAGCAAATTATTACAAGGGTTAACATTTAGACATACCTTCCTCCTTCTTCATTGGTGTCCAAAGACTTAATAATTAGAATCAATTGCTGACCTATGAACTCTTTTGTCATCAGATTTTCAATACAGGAAAAATCATTTTTCTGTTCATCATTAACAAATGGAATGCTCTGAATATAACTAAAATAAGCAGAAATAATAAAATGTAGAATCTGTTAAGAAACATGAAACAGCTTCCCATTAATTCAGAAAAGGTTTTTTTCAGTTCATATCAGTCCAAATGCATGGATGTCGATACCATGTTATACTAATTTGGTCTAAAAATTCTGTACTATCGTCATGAACTTTCACAAACAAATTTATTGGCTGAATCAAAAGAATTTCAAAAATGTATTTTCATTAAAGATTCAAATTTCCTGTGGGAAACTTTCAAAAAGTATATATTTATGTCTCTCAAAAAATAACTAATTATTTCAATGTCACTAGTGTTCTCAATTATAAAGTTCTGAATCCTGTCTCCAAAATACACTTATTCATAAAGAGCTAGCCTTCCATCATCATCCCTAATTAAACATTATTCTTTTGTTTAAAATAGCAGTAAAAATAACAGTAATTACACAAGCAATCCATGAATACGATGACCTTTTAAAAAAATCAGAAAAACATAGATCGTTTCATAAATCTGTATTCTCCTTGATTAGAGGGCCTACTAATTTCTATATTGTTCTTAATTTAGTGTAGGTGCCACTAAACAAACACCATCTATTACCCTCTTTTATTCTTACTATCACTGCCGAAATTAAAGCCTTTTACAACACTTAGAAAATATTCAATAGCTCACAGGTCTTCCCTTTTTTGTGTCTGGGGGGCAAAAGCTACTAAAAAGCAGAATTAAGAGTTAAAGGGCCGGCCGAGTGGCTCAGTTGGTTAAGAGTTGGCTTAAGAGCGCGAGCTCTGAGCAACAGGGCCTCCGGTTCAATTCCCACATGAGCCAGTGACGCTGTGCCCAAGCTGAGCCGTTGCTGAGCTGCCAACAGGTGGCAGGATGGCTCAGCTGGTGTAACAACAAGATTGCCTGTTCAATGATGGGCTACACCCACCCGCAACTAAGACCGAACTTGGCATCTTGAGCTGAGCTACCGCCCAAATGGCTCAGTGGATAGAGCGTGCGCTCTTAACAAGGCTGCTGGGTTCGACTCCCGCATGGGATGGTGGTACGCCCACCCACCCACAACTAAGATTGAACACAGCACCTTGAGCTTAGAAGCCACAAGCTGCCAACAGGAAGCCAGATGGCGACTGGCGCCCTCCATAAGGAAGATTGAAGGACAACAACTTGGCTGGTTCCCCTCCCCAATTCCCCAACACTGTTCCCTTCCCCCAATTCCTCAATAAAATCTTTAAAAAAAAAAAAAAAATTAAGAGCTAAAGGTTACTCGCTCAAGAGTTTGAGCTCTGAGCAACAGCAGTTCGAGTCCCGGCCCAAGCTGAGTTGAGCAGCCGCTGAGCTGCCACCTGGTAGCAGGATGGCTCAGCTAAAAAAAAAAAAAAAAAGAGTTAAAGGTTAAACAACTAGGTGCCTTTAGGTTGGAATATGAAAAAGGAACAATCCAGATGAAAAATGTCATTTTTAAATGTCAACAAAAATCAAGTTACAGAAACTGCAGAATTATGTAAGATGAATAAACTGACTCATAAAATAACCAAGAGTATATAAAAGCTCATAAATCTCTGGTCATGAGATTAGGACCTTCAGGAGATACCCTTTCAGCTCTAGCAGGAACTACAGGAAAGCTACAAAACTGATACATAGATCAGTGGAATTACTGGTTTCTGACAGTCTAAAAAAGCTTCACTCTGAATCCCTTGCTGCTTCACCCCAGCTTTCACACAATGCATAGCATCAAGACTGAGGGTATTTTTTAAATAAATTCAAAGAGTAGTTGTTTCATTAATAGATAACAAATCCTGAACTCCATAAATATAACTTAAAACAGAACTATCAATTTTAATGATCATGACATCATCTCTAATCATTTTTAAAAATATTCATTATAATGAAGACTTCAAGAAAGCCTTTTATAAAAGCTCACTCCAAGAATTTGTATTTAAGGTAGCTTTCTAAAAATTGTATTCATGTCCCTTTTTCTTACTCAGATTTAATAGGCCTCATTCCATATCCCTGATCCCTCTCTTTATGTGACACCTCAGATAAGTGAAAACTGTTTCATATCAGAATTCTGAGTCACTAACTCTTCCTGCTAAAAAATGCCTGAAAATATATTTCTCAGATTATCAAGAAACAATTTCTCCATTTACTTTTGTTTCTGTACCAAGTAAACTCATCCTATCTAGTAACGTTGCTCCCAAAAGAAATATCATCCTATTTCTTAAGTATTCTTTCAATAATAATTAAAATACAATTTTTATAGTTTTCTTCTCTATAAGTGGAAAAAAACAAGTTGATTAAAGTTATTTCAAAGCTCACAGATTAAGTGACAAAGGAAATATAAGAATGAGGGGAAAAAAAGGAACGAGGAACCACGCTCTTTACGTGTTAGTATTAACTAAGAATTAATCAATTTGTGAAGCAGTCCTTGAGGAGAGGTTCCTCCTGTTACTTATTTAACATTTCCTCATATTTTTTATATTTTTTTCTATCTTCCATAAGCATTTATTACTTTTATATTAATACATATTACTAAGCATTGCATAAAACTCATTCTTTCTGGAAACATTTCAGTATGGCCCAAACAGCATTATAATACTCTAATTAAATGTTAAAGCTTGAAATAATTACCATTAAACACTTGGAGTCACACGTTTTTCATGTTACTATGAGCTCAAGCTGTAAGTTTCAATATTGGCTCACATTTAAGATATTTATTCTATATTTAATATTTTGCATACAAAATTCAAACACATTCATAGCTTTGCTTCCTAACTTATATGTGAAACCATTATAAGCAAAAGCAGAATAGTGTATTTCACATAAAGAGAATTCAAGCCCATAATTCATATTATATGGAAAAAGCTTTTTATTTACTTATTTTTAAATTTTTATTTTTTTATTATTAGTTTCAGGTGTACAAAACAACATAATGATTAGACATTTACACACCTCACAAAGTGATAACCCCAACTAGTCTACGATACCATTGACTATATTTTCTATGCTGTACTTTACATCACGTGACTAATTTTTTTTTTAATTATAGTTGACATTCAATATTACATTAGTTTCAGGTGGAAGAAGCTTTTTCAAAATAAATCTAAAGCATAAAATTAAAAATCTACATATCAATATCTATCAAAATATATATAACCTTTGGCCCAGCGATTCCACTTCTGGGAATCAACCCCACTAAATCCCAAATGTACAAGGAAGTTGAACATACCGTATTTGCCGGCGTATAAGACGACTCAGCGTATAAGACGACCCCCTAACATTTCCACTCAAAATACAGAGTTTGTTATATGGTCGGCTGTGTGCGATTTTGCGAGTGTGGTAAAATCGCACAACAGCAAAATCGCACACAGCCGAGCATACACCCAGCAGCGCTGCTGATGCCTGAACGGTATGTGGAATGAAGTGGGCGGGCATCGGGAGGCCACTATGGCACGG